ACTGCGAACCACTGCGTGCAAATGTAGTATTAAATCCCTGAGCAATGTATTTCAGTGCGCAAGTATTTGCATAAATTATGCATGACCTAACTTGTTAGTTCCCTCTCGAGCTTTCACGAGACATCACAGAGACATTTCTCCGTTATGGGAACTCCTTTCCTTCCAACCTTTCCTGAAGTCCTATTGGCTCACACCAGTTCAAATGACTGGCCAATTGTCGCGAAGTATGCAAATCACATGTAAATACTGACGCGCTCGAGAGGCAGTATAAAATGCGGTGCACGCGACAATTACTTCAAAATCTTCTCCTTAACTTTGCTGAATAACCTAAGAATATGGCTTATAAACTGTTACAGTTCACAGTTAAGGTTCACTCATCAGAGGGCGGTGCCTGGATTGCCGCTCCTCTGCAGTGTTCAGGTGAGTATTACATTTTTCTTCAGATGCCAGATGAGTTTGTCTGCCCTCTATCAGTGGTGGACCTTAAGGACTCTGGTGATGAGCTCAGTAGTGGACCTTAAGGACTCTGGTGATGAGATCATGCCGACAAAATGTCCGCATTCCTCTCACCCATCGAACCTGCAGAACATCAGCCCGGCTTCTCACGTCCCCCTTCCATGGCGGAGCGGAGAGCCGAGTGCAGACACTGGAGATAAGGGTTCTCATGTCGCCGCAGATGCCGCACGACCCACTGTCTAATAAGTGTGCAGCTCCCCACCTCAGAGCGGCGTTCTGCCGTGTGCAAAGCACAATCACTGGCTCCTCACTCGTTCACACGATACCAGCCCCTCATCAGCGTCTGCCGTATTTGGAAGACACTGCTCTCTCATTCACATGATACCAGCCCCACATCAGCGGCTGCCGTGTGTTGAGGACTCCGCTCTCTCACTCATTCAGGGCGATATGCAGCCCCCGCTTCAGTGCAGCGACAAGCGCTTCAGTCGCTTACCCATTCACCAGCAGTAAAGCGGCAAGGAGTCACCTGATGCCCCTGCGCGGAAAAGCGAGGAGTGACCTGATGCCCCTGCTTGGAAAGCGCGCAAAGGCAAGGAGTCACCTGATGTGGCTGTGCGGAAAAGCTTGCGAAGGCGAGGAGTCACCTGATGCCCCTGCGTGGAAAAGCGCGCAAAGCCGAGGAGTCAACTGATGCCCAGGCGCGCGTCTTATCAGCCTTCCAGATTTCGCTGGACTATTACGTCAGTTGTTCCCTACGTAGTGCACCCTACGAAGTGGTGTTCAACTAAGTCATATAGCCATTCACAGTCTGTAGTGACAGGCTCAGATGCCGCCGCCCATACCGGTTAAAAAGCTTTCCAGCAGCAGACCGCGAGATCGAGGTCTTCTTTGGCGCACGGCTCATCGCAGTGCAGGGACACCAGGCCCACAACCACTGCTGCCAGGAGCCAGATGTGCGGAGAAAAGTGTAAAGGGACCCGGGAAGAGGTGCCACGGCAAGCGTAGGAGCTCGCGCCATGACTCCCGCCCGCCGCCAGCTGCCAAGCCATCATCCTGACAGCCAGGAGAGGAGGGAAGAGTAGCCTACACGATCAGACCAGCCCCCAAGCTGTGTCAAAATTGTTCAAATGTGTGTTTGATGTGTGTGTGGGATCATTAAAAAATGCATACATGTGCACAAAAGAGCTCTTTCCTCCTCACTCAGTCAAAGTAGCGCAGCTCGCCCCACCTCAGAGCGGTGCAGAGCCGCTGCTCACACATGTTATAGCAGCACTCGCCTGATAAAACAGATAAAACAGATCCTGGCGCAAATTCGCTCCGGGTACTGGTTGCGGCCATAAAATTTAAAGGACGCATACTTTCACATTCAGATAACAGCGCATCACAGACGCTTTCTGAGATTTGCTTTCGAGGGCACAGCGTACCAGTACTCTGTTCTCCCGTTTGGGCTGGCTTTGGCCCCACGCACTTTCTCGAAGTGCATGGACGCAGCTCTCGCCCCCCTCAGAGCGAGCGGGATGCGCATTCTCAATTATTTGGATTACTGGCTGATCTTAGCTCAGTCACGGGACACACTATAGACAGCCATATAGACAAACTGTTTCGTCACTTGGAGTTCTTGTGGCTGTGTGAATGTGTGTAAGGGCATTCTCGCCCCGAGTCAGTCTATAATGTATCTGAGAGTGTGCTTCGACTCGGTGGAGATGCGAGCTCGCCTCTCTCGGGAGTGCTCGGCAGCCATTTTGTCTTCCCTGCACCATTTCAGTATGGGCAGCTCTGTTCACTTGAAGGAATGTCAGAGGCTGCTGGGACTCATGGCAGCAGCATCAGTATGTCATCTGGGTTTACTACACATGCGCCCGCTGCAGTTATGGCTGAAATCTCGAGTCCCTTGGACGGCGTGGACTTCGGACCATTGCACATCACGGTCTCCCGCGGCTGCATCGAAGCCCTGGGGCCGTGGCGCAAAGATCACTTCAGCCGGGGGGTTCGCCTGGGCTTGATGACGTCACGTGTCGTGGTCAAGACGGACGCGTCGACTCACGGATGGGGAGCAATGTGCGAGGGCATGCCGGCTTCAGGGCTGTGGTCAGAACCTCAGAGCCGTTGGCACATAAACCGCTTGGAGCTGGAAGCAGTGTTCTTAGCTCTAAAGGATTTTCGGCCGCAGCTGGATATAGTATTCGCTTCGCACTCTCTGGCCGAGACCGAGCTACGTGCCTAAATCACTATCTACCCCCTTCAGAGCGCAGACTGTTTCGCTGTCTGCCCTGTCTTCTGAGTTACCGACCTCGCGTGAATCGGACGCTCAGATTTCGATGGGCCCCGTCAGGGCTTTGAGGATTTTCATTGACCGTTTGGCCAGCTTTCAGCAATCTGACCAGCTTTTCGTGTGCTACGGTGGTTGTGCGAAGGGCCGGGCCGTGTCAAAAAGGAGGTTTTCACACTGGATTGTGGACGCTAACACGGCTGTTATACGAGCCAAGGTTTGGAATGTCCTTTGCACATTAGGGCCCACTCAACAAGAGCTATCGCCTCCTCCTGGTCGTGGTTGAGAGGTATGTCTATTCAGGATATATGCTTTGCAGCCGGCTGGTCTTCTCAGAATACCTTCGCCAGATTTTACAAGCTGAACGCTCAGTCCGTAGCCTCCCAAGTGCTGTCGGTGAGTGACTGTTTCACGTTTATGCTACCTCTATTCATGTGTGTTTGCTGCCTCGCACAGTAATTACTCTGCACAGACCTATATGCTATTGTTGCTGTTGTCTGCCCTGTACTCAGTGCAGCTCCTGCTATTCAATGTCTAAATCGATTGGTGTACCATCATCATCTTATGTGTTATACTGCTGCTTAACACCGTTATCTCTGTGCAGCCCCCCCTCACAATACTGTGATTGTTGTTGCTTCTGCCCTGTTTCTCAGTGCAGCATACGTTATCACTGACCAGATATGCAAATTTCGTATAACTGGGCTTTTTCATTGGCTTGTCTCCACTTATCAGCTGTGTGCCCACCTAACAAGCGTCACTATTGGTTGTGGGAATTGTGTGTTCTGTCTTCGCTGAGTATTGGCGCTTTTCCACTGCATGGAACGGCACGGTACGGCTCGGTATGGTTCACTTTTGGGGGGTTTTCCACTGGGTACAGCACCTCGTACCTGGTACTTTTTTTAGTACCACCTCGGTTGGGGTTCCAAGTGAACCGTACCGTTACCAAAACGTGACGTGTAAACTCTGCTGATCACGGATTGGCCGGAGAGAATCGTCACTACCTGCATCACTGAACTTGCTACACAAACACAAAAGAACCGCTAGATTTAACTCAGCACAGCCAGCGAAGGATCGAACGCAACTGTTTTGAACGAGCTCACCTTTTTTAACAACCAAAAAGTTTCGTTGTCTGTTGAGGAAGTACAGATGTTCCTCTCGTTGATAGCAGAGGAGCGGATCCAGCGAGAGCTTGATGGGGCGACGTGGAATGAAATAGTTTTTTTTAGGAGTCGTGGTAGTAGAGGCGGCGCAACTATAACGACATGTGAATAATCCCGCCCACTCTAAAGCAGTACTGAACTGCAGTGGAAATGCAAACCGTGCCGAGCCGAACCGTGCCGTGCCGTACTGAGCCGTGCCGAGCCGAGTCGTACCACGCAGTGGAAAAGCGCCATATGTGACTTGTACAGGCTGCTTGTAGCCTCTCTCACGGCGGGATTGAATATCATTACCATAACGGAGAAATGTCTCTGTGATGTCTCGTGAAAGCTCGGGAGGGAACGTCTCCGGTTACTACCGTATCCTCGGTTCCCTGAGAGCGGGAACGAGACATCACGGAGGTCGCCGTGTTCGCTGCTCGACCAGCTAACGGTACATTCACACGGGGCATCAGTGTGGACCCTTGATGGAGGGTGTTTCTGAAGCTTGGTGTTGACGTGACCATCATAGTGACAACAGCCAATCACATTAGTTTTCTGGTGTTGCATGAACGCGATTGGCTAGCATCTGCACCAGGGCATTTGCATAAGGCGATCTGATTGGCTGACGCCTGTGTTGGCGATTGAAAAGTTTTCAACTTCTGCCGCAAGCAAGGGACCCAACATGACGCGACGGACCCACAATTCATTTCGGCAACGCTTGACATCACTCCATTCAAAGTAAAGGAGAGGCGTTGACGCCCTGTGAAAGGGGCGTAAGCAGCGTTCAGTATCAGATTCTGACATAATTGTCGCCTGCACCGCATTTTATACTGCCTCTCGAGCGCGTCAGTATTTGCATGCGATTTGCATACCTCCCGACAATTGGCCAGTCATTTGGACTGGCGTGAGCCAATAGGACTTCAGGTAAGGTTGAAAGGGAAGGAGTTCCCATAACGGAGAAATGTCTCCGTGATGTCTCGTTCCCGCTCTCAGGGAACCGAGGTAGTAACCGGAGACGTTTTTTATAATAGTCTCATGCCAGTGATGCTGTACTCTAATGGACATGTAACTGATATATGCGTTAAATGCGCATAGTGACCAGGAAAATAAATTAAAAACTGAAAAAATATGCTTACCTGACCCAAATTAGTAAAGCCATATTTTGAGGCGAGTTTATCAGCTTCTGCTGGTCCTCCAGGGATCCGAACAGCCCAGTGATTGGTGTAAACGCGAGAAAGCGACGCTTCCCATAGCCAAAAAGTTGACAAAACAAAACCAACCGACAACCGCATATTGCTCGAAAATCCAGCCGGTTATCTTTGCGGTAAATGATTCACGCAGGAGCGTTTGCCTCCAAACTCATCAAAACACGAGCCTGTGGATGGGCATCAAACCTTCAGTCCTGGCACGCGATGCATCCAAAACATCCCTGAGTTACTCCCGCATTAATCTCTCTCATTCACAGCGCTGCATCCCTTCTTACCGCTTCATTCGGGAGCTCAAGTTCAACAAACCTGAAATACTGGTTCCGTTTCACGACAGATGGCACGCCAGCCGATTTAAGTGTTGTCATGTAAGCCTATATGGCAGAGCGAGCGCGCGCTACTATTGAGGTTGGCAGCACGAGCTTATGGCCGGTGTTTGAGCGCGCTGCACTTGGCAAAGTGTTTCAGATAGACGCCAATAAAGGCGTTTTTATCCAGACAAGTGGCGTGCCAGTAACTGTAGATGTGCAGATCGTTTCCTTTGAGCTGACATGCAGCTTCACACCTCACAGGTCGGTGATGATCCCTAATGATGGCTCACTAAAAGCACAAGTAGGCTATATTTCTAACCGTTTATCAGTCTCTTCTCATGACACCTGTGCAAGACCGTGCCCGTGTCTTATATTACAAACCAAATTGAAAAGACAGAAGAAATTTTATTCAGCTTAATTTTTGACTCCTCTCTTAAATTTTTTTTTTTTTAGTTTATTGATTGATTGAGGTGTAAAATATTACATAGACATATGAGAACTGTATCCAATAGCCCCAAAATTATTTGCAAAAATGTAAGTGCATTTGATAATAAAATATAAAGTTTTACAAACAAGGTTGAACTGTCGTTGTAAAAGAGCTCTGTGGATATTCTTCAATAATTCTCATTTTATGTTCCACTGCAAAAATAACCGCATAGGTTTGGAGCAACATGGACCCAATATGAGTGTGATTTTCAATTTTTCATTAGTATCTCACTTTTTACACTAGCTCACAAAAAGCATGAATCACAGGTTCACATTTATGAATAGAAACCGAATAGATCTCTGTCTCCACATGTGACAGCAGTAGAGGAAATGAAATGTTAATTGCATTCAGTCACTGTAATCGTGCTGAGACTTTTCGGAAAAAGACAGGAGCAATGCTCTGAATCTAGAGGAGGTGTTTGATGAGCTCAGTCGACATCGTCCTGTTTTCAATATGCAGTTCTGATGAAAATAGAGCACATTGCAAACAAACAAACATATACAGGTTTTTTTTTTAATGTAGACCTGATAGTAAATGTTTTGTTGTCAGCTGTCAACTTGAGTGCTGCTGTACTGAGAGCAAAAGATAAACCAAATACTAAGTTATTTTAAAGGGATAGTTCACCCTCATGCCACCCAAGATGTAGATTTCTTCATCTGAACAGATGAGGAGAAATGTAGCATTGCATCACTTATTCACTAGTGGATGCTCTGAAGTGAAAGGGTGCCGTCAGAAAGAGAGTCCAAACAGCTGATGAAAACATCACAATAATCCACAAGTAATCCACACCACTCCAGTCCATCAGTTAACATCTTGTGAAGTGAAAAAAAAAATCCATTGGTGATGGATTTGTTTGTTTTTTTTACAAAAATGCAGCTTTTCACCTCTCAAGATGTTAACTGATGGACTGGAGTGGTGTGGATTACTTGTGGATTATTGTGATGTTTTCATCAGCTGTTTGGACTCTCTTTCTGATGGCACCCATTCACTGCAGAGGATCCATAATGGCCTGAAGGTTTTTTTTGGATGAACTATTCCTTTATTTAAATTAGAAAAATGCAAAATAGAAACATTTTCACTGATGTTCTCAGACTTTTAGATCCCACTGTAAATCATTTGCATGATGGCTGCTGTTGTAATGCTAAAAAAAGAAAAGAAAAAGATGTCTATGTTATGTCCTTCTTTGTTTTTTTATTACCTCGAGCTAATATAACGGCACTGACACAAAGTGAATTCAAAGCCAAGTTCTGTTTCAGAACGGTGATATAATTCTCTTTCTACTTCTATCCATACCATCTGTGCCTTCCCTGCGGAGTTAGAAAAAAAGGCCAGACGCACTCCGTTTACCACTTGTTAATGATCAGAATATCTCTGTTATGAGAAACAACACCAGTAGTCTAAATTTAGACGCAGCAGTGTCAACACTGCTGAATTTTTACATTTTACAAAACATACAACCATGGCAAATCCAAAAGATCCAACCGTTATGTCTTCCCGTCTCTTCCTTCAATGTAAGATTTGTTTGTTTGCCCATTTTATCATCCACCAGGCAAAAATAATAGGTCTGAGTGCTTGAAAGTAATAGCACACGTCTCTTCAACAAGCTGCAAGATTTGAAGTGGCACAAACAATGCGTGATGAGTTCCACGCTTAAGGTTAGACGAATGTGCGCAATGGTAATAGTGATGCTCGCCTCAGCAAACATCACTAATAAAACAATAGACGACCTGAAATGAGATTCTGTTAAGTAGCCGGAGCCCATTTTAAAGGAATATAAGCTCTGTAGCGCCCGACTGCATATATGCATAGCTCTCGTTAAACCTCATAACCTCAGAAGACGTTTATAGGATAACAGCGGAGCGCAATCCTCCTTGAAATATTGTTGAGCATTATCTGCGCTGAAAGCTGTGCTTTAAAGGAAAACATTTCACAGTCTGGAATGGATTTATTTCATGGGTATTATGCACGCCTGATCAGCCTCGGTCTTCGTTTGGCCTCCCTGAAAATAGAAACCCAAGTTTCTCGTGAAAAACGGCGTCGTGTCGCGAGAGGTAGTCAGGCGTGCTGCGTGTCTGAGTCGAGCTCATTATTCTTCAAGCCGATCATTTGGCGGAGAGTGACACATCGGCGCGGCTTTTAGCGCTGGCACTCAGCATGTTTTTACTTGATCATCCTGAGCAATGAAGGAGAATAATAAGAGCATTAGGCCATTTGAAGCGTGCTGTCGTGTTCATTCTTAAAGTTAAACTTTATCTCGGAGGGAAAGCACCGCGCTGTCACCTTTACCCAGATGTCCTTTGTGATCTGAAATGAGGCTCGTATGACATTTCATTTACAGTTATTCATTCAGCAGACACTTTTATCCAGAGTGACAAAAAATGAGGAAAGCATAAGCGACCCATCCTAAGGAGGCCATTGCATGAGAAATGCTGCAATACACAACGTTACAAAACACAGCGAGTTTCAGACTGTGCATGTTTGTTATAGAGTCTCGTTATAATTTATGACTTAATCCACCATTTTGAGTAGTTTAGGGGTTTTTTGTGAGCTTTTGCAGTGCATTATGGGATTGTCTTCTTTGCAAAGGATGCCGAATGATGAGTCTTACAACTTACAAGGCAGCATAATCTTATTGTCTTGCTTTTAGGTGGGAAAAAACCTTTACATCTGAAGCAGATACTTAAAATGCTAACATGCTCACAGGTTTTGGAACAGGATGGTACAGCTAAAGTCATTTATTTAAAGGGGTCATAGGATGATGCATGCACTTTTACAAGTTGTTTGAACTGAAATGTGTGTTGGCAGTGTGTGTACACAACCACCCTAACATGATAAAAATCCACCCAGTGTTTATTTTTTAATCTGGTTAAATGTTTTCCCCTTTCTCAAATCGAGCCGGTGCTAATTAGCAAGTTTCATGATGAACGCAGCTAAAGTAAACAGTCTCTCTGAGAGCAGCATAAGAGAGGGGCGGGGTCAGCAGAGCTCATTAACATTTAAAGGAAAATGCTACAAATCTGCGTGCTCTGAAAAGAGCTGTTTTTGACAGGGTAAAAAAGGTGTTTTTTTACACTAACATTGAGAGATTTTAACCAAACTATGTTACAGACTTTTTATTAAGACCCTAAAAAATCATATCAACTTGTGGAAAAGGGGCATCCTATGACCCCTTTAAGGAATAGTTCACCCATAATTTACCCACCCTCAGGCCATCCAAGAAGTAGATGACTGTTTCTTCATCAGAACAGATTTAGAGAAATTGCATCACTTGCTCACCAATGGATCTTCTGCAGTGAATGGGTGCCGTCAGAATGAGAGTTCAAACAGCTGATAAAAACATCCCAATAACACCAATTAATATGTTGTGATGTGAAAAGCTCCGTGTTTCTAAGCAATAAATCCATTATTAAGATGTTTTTAACTTCAAACCATCGCTTCCGGCTAAAATAGATAGTCCTCTATAATACTGATTTCTCCAGTGAAAAAATTTTCTCATCTGAATCAAGAGAGAAATATCAAGCACCATTTACAAGCCAAAACAGTCCAATATGTTGGTGGATTTTGATGAGAGTCGACAACAGGAGATGGACTTTTTCTCTGGAGGAAGCGTTATTATGGATTATGGACTCTTTTTTTGGGGGGGGGGGGCAGAAGCGATGGTTTAAAATGAAAGAGCCTTAATAATGGATTTGTTTCTTACAAAACATGCAGCTTAACCTTAACTGATGGACTGGAGAGGTGTGGATTACTTGTGGATTATTGTGATGTTTTTATCAGCTGTTTGGACTCTCATTCTGACGGCACCCATTCACTACAGAGCATCCATTGGTGAGCAAGTGAAGTAATGCTACATTTCTCCAAATTTGGTCCCATGAAGAAACAAACTAATCTACATCTTGGATGCCCTGAGGGTGAGATCATTTGCAGCAAATTTTCATTTTTGGGTGAACTATTCTTTTAAGTCAAGACAGCTGTGTAATATAACTTGTATAGTCACCATATGTTGGATGGAAAAACACAGGCTTTAGGATTTGCCATTTTTTCAAAGTTTGTGCTCGGGGTCCATACTGTACGTGCTGCAATTTAAATGCAAGCACATCTTTATCCTGTATTATTTTCCTCCAAAATCACTTTAAACTCCAAATGGGGTGGTTGCATAATGTTTTTTTGCTGCCCACAGAGCAGATTTTGGCAGGTAGAGTTGGCTTGCGTTGCTCCAGAGATCTTGGCCAGCTGAATTTCTCATGATTTCTGGCAGGTATGTTCGTGTTAGAGGTTAACAGGTGGATATGTCAGTCTGTCACTAACCTGTTTATCATAGTGCTTTTTTGCACAGTTGGACATTTTTCTGCATAAAGCTTCTTCTGTATGTGGCCATCACAGCTTCGCATGGCTACTTTTTATTTTGGCATTATAAGATTAAAAACTAAATCCAATTTAGTGTGCAGGATTTCTCTGTGGTTTGACTAAATAGAGACCTGTGTTAATGTCATATCTGCATCTCACATCTGTTGTACATCTTGTTGAAAAATACAGAAATTTGAGCTGTCTTGATGCCAAAGTGTACTTTCAGAAGGTCACAGAAGAAACAGCTCAACTATAAACTATCAATGATTCTCTCCCACTGATCGGGATAGTAAATGGAGACATGCTAGTAAATGGTGCTTTTAAAAGCAAAATATTATTTCACTTTCAAGGAGGTGAAAGAAATATATCTC